AATAAAGAATGACAAAGAGTGAAAAAAGCCTGAGTGAACGATGGGATACCATAAAGATAAACCATGCATCAGTAGAGTCCCTGAAAGGGGAGAAAGGGAGAAAGGGGGATAAGCTATATTTACATCAGACAAAATAGCCTTTAAGTAAAAAACTGTAATGAGACGATGATGGTCATTATATAACAATAAAGGGGTCAATTCACCAATAGAATATAAAAATTGTAAACATACATGCACTCAGTATTGCAGCACCTAAATATATTAAGCATGTACTAACAGATCTGAAGGGAGAAATGGACAATACAATAATAGTAGGGGACTTCAATTCCTCACCTTCGACAATGGATAGATCGTCCCGATAGAAAATCCATAAGGAAAACACCAAATGGAACTAGCAGATATATACAGAACCTACCATCCAATAGCAGCAGAATACACATTCTTCACAGGGGCACACAGAACATTCTCCAGGATAGATTCTCTGTTAGGCCACAAAACAAGTCTTAGAAAATTTAAGAAGACTGAAATCATAACAAGTATCTTTTCTGACCACAATGTTATAAAAGTAGAAATTGATTACCAAAAAAACCCTGGAAAATTCACAAATATGTGGATATTAAACAACATGCTCCTGAACAACCAATGGGTCAAACAAGAAATCACAAGAAAAATTTAAAAAAATAACTTGAGAAAAATGAAAATGGAAATAAAACATACCAAAACTTATGGGAGGCAGCAGAAACATCTAAGAGGGAAGTTTATAGAGATAAATGCCTACATTCAGAAAAAAGAAAAATCTTGGGGCGCCTGGGTGGCTCTGTTGGTTAAGCACCTGCCTTCAGCTCAGGTCATGATCCCCAGGTCCTGGGTTTGAGCCCCACTCAGGCTCCTGCTCAGTGGGAAGTCTGCTTCTCCCTCTCCCTCTGCTGCTCCCCCTGCTCGTGCTCTCTCTCTGACAAATGAATAAATGAAATCTTTTTTTTAAAATTAATTTATTTATTTGACAGAGACAGCGAGAGCAGGAACACAAGCAGGGGGAGTGGGAGAGGGAGAAGCAGGCTTCCCGCCGAGCAGGGAGCCTGATGTGGGACTTGATCCCAGGACTCCGGGATCATGACCTGAGCCGAAGGCAGCCGCTCAACGACTGAGCCACCCAGGTGCCCCGAATAAATGAAATCTTGAAAAAAGAAAAATCTTAAACAACCAGCATTTACACATCAAGGAACTAAAAAAAATAAAGAAACTAATCCCAAAGTTAGTAGAAGGAAGGAAATAACAAAGATCAGAGCAGAAATAAAAAGGATACCAGAAAAACAATAGAAAAATCAACAAAACTAAGAACTTTTTAAAAAAAAGATAAAATTGACAAAACTTTAGGTAGACTAAGAAAACAAGAAGACTGAAATAAAAAAATGGAAAAGGAGACTTTACAACTGATAATACAGAAATACAAAGGACTATAAAAGCCTACTATGAACAATTGTATACCACCATATTGAACAACCTAGAAGAAATGGGTAAGTTCCTAGAAACAGACAACCTACCCACACTGAATCATGAAGACATGGAAAATCTGAACAGACTGATTACAAGTAAGGAGACTGAATCAGTAATAAGAAACCTCCCACCAAAGAAAAGTCCAGGACCAGATGGTTTCACTGATGAATTCTAGGAAACAGTTAAAGAACTAATACCAATCCTTCTCAAACTCTTCCAAAAAATTAAAGAGAAGGGAATATTCTCAAATTCAGTTTACAAAGCCAGCACTTGATACCAAAGCCAGGTAAGTACACTAGAAGAAAAGCAGACTACAGACTAATATCCCTGATGAATGTAGATGCAAAAGTCTCAACAAAATATTAGCAAACTGAATTCAACAGCGCATTAAAAGGACCATACACTATGATCGAGTGGGATTTAGCCCTGGGATGCATGGATGACTCAATACATGTAAATCAACAAATGTGATACACCACATAAACAAAATAAAAAGAGAACAACGATGGGATCATCCCAATACATTTTTTCACAAAAATGGAGAAAACAATCCTAAAATTGGTATAGAACCAAAAAAGAACAAGGATAGCCAAAGTCATACTGAAAAAGAATACAGCTGAAGGCATCACACTTCCTGATTTCAAACTCTATCAGAAAGCTATAATAATCAAAACAGCATGGTATTGGCATAAAAACAGATATACAGGTCAATGAAACAGAACAGATAGCCTAGAAATAAACCTGTGCATATACTGTCAATTAATTTTTGACAAAGGAGCCAACAATTTATCATGAGGAAAGGACAATCTCTTCAATGAATGGTGCTGGGCAAACTGGATAGCAACATGCAAAAGCGTTAAACTAGAACCCTATCTTACACCATACACATGATCTCAAGTGGATTAAAGACGTGAACATGAGATGTGAAACTGTAAAAATTCCTGGAAGAGAACACAGCGGTAAGTTTCTTGACATTAATCTTGGCAATGATTTTTGGGACTGGACACCAAAAGCAAAGGCAACAATAGCAGAAATAAATAAGTGGGACTGCATCGAACCAAAAGGCTTCTTCACAGCAAAGGAAACCATCAACAAAATAAAAAGGAAACCTATGAGACAGGAGAAAATATTTGCAAATCACATATTTGGTAAGGGGTTAAATTCCAAAACATGTAACGAACTTGTATTACTCCATAGCAAAAACAAAGAACTGCCACAAAAACCCAATTTAAAAATGGTTAAAAGACCTGAACAGATATTTTTTCCAAAGAAGACACACAAATGGCCAAAGGTACATGAAAAGGTGATCAACATCACTCATCAACAGGGACATACAAATCGAAGCCAGCGTGAGATAACACCTCACACCTGTTAGAATGGCTATTATTAAAAAGACAAGAAATAACCAATGCTGGTAAGGATGTAGAGAAAAGGGAACCCTGCGCACTGTTGGTGGAAATGGAAACTGGTACAGCCACTGTGGAAACAGTATTAAAGTTCCTTAAGAAATTAAAAATAGAACTACCATATGATCCCAGCAACCTCACTTCTGGGTATATATATCCAAAGGAAATTAAATCACCATCTTGAACAGGTATCTGTATTCCCATGTTCACTGTAGCATTATTCAGAATAGCCAAGGTATGGAAACAACCTAAGTGTCCACAGACAGGTAAATGGATAAAGAAAATGTGGTGTGTGTGCACGCACACAGAGAGGAATATCAGCCAGCCTTTAAGAAGAAGTAAGCCTTCCATTTGTGACAACATGGGTGATTCTGGAGGGCACTGTGCTAATTCAAATAAACCAGAAAAAAGAAAGACAAGTACTGCATGGCATCACCAAAAAAGCTCAGAGGAGCAGAGAGAATGGCAGTTGTCAAGGGCTGATGGGGGTGGTTGGCTGGGAATGGGGAGATGTTGGTCCAAGGGTCCAAACTTCCAGTTAGAAGGTGAATAAAGTTCTGGGATTCTAATTTACAGCATAGTGACTATAGTTGACAATACTGCCTGAAAGTTGCTAAGAGTAAATTTTATATATTCTCGCCACACGAATACACACACATGCAAAGGTAATTATGTGAGGTGATGGATGTATTAACCATCCTTATTATGGTAATCATTTCACAATACATACGTGAATCAAATCATATTGTATACCTTAAACTTATACACTATATGTCAATTTTATCTCAATAAAGCTGGGAAAAAAGGTTACCTGAGCTTGATTTCAGAGTTCAGGGTGTTCAACTGGTTCTGGCAGTGAGACAGCCCCTCCAACTGGGGGGTGGGGGAGGGAGTGGCAGTGGAGCTTATGGTACTTTCCAGCACTGTCCTGGACACCTCTACCCCGGCTCCAGCTTCCTGCTGTGCAGAAGCTATGCTAATGGTGGGCTCTTGCTCCTGGAGCATATAATAGTATGTTCTTGACATAAAGAGTTCCAGCAGGTACCTCCCGATTCCTCAACTTCTCAATTGTAGGGGAGGTAGCTGGGCCCTGTGGCATGCCTGTTCTTGAGTATTTTCTTGAGGGTCATTTCTGCAAACCCAGGCTACAGCCCGCTTCTCCAGATCTTCCAACTGTTAACCACTTTCGGAAGTCATCAATATTTCAGTATTCAGTATACTATCTCTAAAAAATAATAGCTTAAAACACAACCTCAGTATCATCATCACACCTAAAAAATTAACAATAATTCCTTAACATAATAAAATATTCAGTCAGTGTTTAAATTCCCAACTGTCTCATAAATGCTATTAAAACAGTTTGCTTCAAGGGCGCCTGGGTGGCTCAGCGGGTTAAGCATCTGCCTTCGGCTCAGGTCATGATCTCAGGGTCCTAGGATCAAGCCCTGCATTGGGCTCCCTGCTCAGCCACCCTCTCCTATGCTCTCTCTCAAATAAATAAATAAAATCTTTAAAAAAAAAAAGTTTGCTTCACAATGTCCACAATAGCCGAACTATGGAAAGAGCCCAGATGTCCCTCAACAGATGAATGGATAAAGAAGATGTGGCATATATACAATGGAATACTACACAGCCATCAAAAAATGAAATCTTGCCAACGACGTGGATGGAACTAGAGGGTATTATGCTAAGTGAAATAAGTCAATCAGAGAAAGACAATTATCATATGATCTCATTCATATGTGGAATTTAAGAAACAAAAAGGATCATAGCAGAAGGGAGGGAAAAATAAAACAAGACGAAATCAGAGAGGGAGACAAATCATAAAAGAATCACAGGAAACAAACTGAGGGTTGCTGGAGTGGAGGGGGTTGGGGGGATGGGGTAACTGGGTGATGGGCATTAAGGAGGGCACTTGCTGTAATGAGCAATGAGTATTATATAAGACTGATGAATCACTAAACTCTACCTCTGAAACTAGTAACACATTTGTTAATTGAATTTAACTTAAATGTTAAGTGAATTTAACTTAATTGAACTTAAAAATAATTAAAAAAAAAAGTTTGCTTCATTTAGGATCCAAATATTTACCTTTTTTTAAAAGATTTTATTTATTTGGGAGAGAGCATGAGCAGGGGGAGAGAGAAGCAGGCTCCGCATGGAGCAGGGAGCCCAATACAGGGCTCAATCCTAGGACCCTGGAATCATGACCTGAACTGAAGGCAGACATTTAACTGACTGAGCCACCCAGGCAACCCCCAAATATATACCTCTTAAATCTCTTTTAATCTATATGGTCTTCCCCTAATACCCTCCCTCCTTTTTTCCTGCATTTAGAGTGCATTTATTGAAGAAAATGGGTCATTTTTCTTGTAGAGTTTTCCAGAATCTAGTTTTTTCCAATTGCTTCCTATGATGCAATTTAACATATTCCACTGTCCTCTATTAATTCCTGTGAATCAGAAGTTGAATCTAGAAGCCTGATCAGATTCAGGTTTATTTTGGCAAAACTTTTCATGAGTGGTTATGAGTACTTCCGTCTGGAGGCACATACTATTCAGCTGTCTCTCTTTAGTGATATTTGCCGCCACTGACATCACCTTTAGATTCATTAGGGGTTGCAAAATGCTTATGTTTTAATTCTTTATTTTCTTCTTCGTTAGCTGGAATACCAGGGTTTTGTTTAGAGAGACGTGTTTAATTGTAAAGTTTGGCACACTCCAGCACCAGGTATGGCCTTAAGTCGAAGCAGCAGGATTTGAATATTACGCAGCGACCCCCATTCAGCCTCACACGGCGAAGAGGATCAAAAAGGCGACCATCAAACAGAAGAGCCCCATGGCCTCAGACAGGGCAAAGCCCAGAATGGCAAAGGAGAGCTGCTGCTTGAGACGGGCTCCTGGCACAGCCAATAATCAAGCTGCCAAACACTGTTCCAATGCCAGCCCCCCTGAACCAGCCATACCAGCTGTGGCAGCCCCAGGAGCCACCACCAGTCTGGAACGTGCGTCAGGCCACCTGGCATGGGGAACTGCTGCAGGATGGCTGTTTAGATGGGATCTCTGGCCTACTCAAGAAGGAGGCAGACATAGGCCTGATTAGACCCCCCAGTACAACAGTGGATCAGAGCCGGAAGGATGAGTACTGCCCCAGGGGTCTGCATTTTCAGTCTGCACTCCCACTGCCCCGCGCCCCTGCTCCCGCCACAGTGCTTGCCCTGCTCAAGGTGACTGGAATACCAGATTCTTTTTTTAAGATTTTATTTATTGGAGCGCCTGGGTGGCTCAGTCAGTTAAGCCGCTGCCTTCGGCTCAGGTCATGATCCCGGGGTCCTGGGATCGAGCCCCGCATCGGGCTCCCTGTTCAGCAGGAAGCCTGCTTCTCCCTCTCCCTCTGCCTGCCTCTCTGCCTACTTGTTCTCTCTCTCTGTCAAATAAATGAATAAAATCTTAAAAAAAAAAAAGATTTTATTTATTTATCTGAGAGAGAGAGAGAGAGCACATGAGCAGGGGGCGAGGGAGAGGCAGAGAATCTCAAGCAGACTCTGTGCTGAGACTGTAACCTGAGCCAAAGCCCAGAATCAGACATTTAACCAACTGAACCACCCAGGCACCCCCAGATACTTTTTTCAAGGTAATGTAAAAACCTATTGCAAAGCTACATTGAAGCCTGTAAAATGTTGGCTCACGTTGAATATAACGAAATACAGATGTGATACTAGGTCCAACTTCACTAGATCCAAATTCCTCCTATTAAGTCTCTACTTCCTATGACTTGGGAGGTTTCCGTTTTCTGCACTGAACCCTGATACAGATGCACTAAAAGGACACCCACACCCCCACAAAACAGCAGATGGCTGCAAGTGGCGGTGTCCTCACTCATAAAACAGGGGTCATAACAAAATCTATGGCTTGAGTTGTTAGAAGGCCAGAGAATAGGCAGGTAAGGTGCTCAGCACGGTAGCTTCAGAGTAGTTTTATAGCCTGCAGCTATACCCTAAGGGGGAGTGAGGAAGAAAGTCCTGTGCTCAACTGAAACAGGAGAGGTAGATGAGAACTGGTCTTGTAGCAGTCTCCTGCAAGAGACAGAGGTGGATGAGAAACTGCCTCACAGCGGCTCTTTACAAGACCGCCCATCTCCCTTCGTTGCAGGAGGAAACCCCAGGCCTTCTGCCAAAGTTCAGGCCAGACCACAGCTAAGTTTTCCCTACGTGGCTTATGGGGAGATGTGTAAGGCTGTCACGGTGCCATGGCAGAACCATTCATCCTAGAGCCCCCCCCGACAGGTCACTTGCCAATGACGAAAAGGGAAAACATCTTTCTGGAGGAGATAGCTGGTGGCCATCACCGTCCCCAGGGATCAGACTTGGCCATCACTATTGGGGCAACCAGGCATCATGTACCTCCTGACAGGAAGCAATAAGGAAGATACACAAGAAGGATTCTTGTAAAAAGTACTTAACCTGTACCTAATCAGGCCTTTAGAGCAAACTTCCAGTTTTTAAGAACTACAGATTGGGACACCTGGGTGGCTTAGTTGGTTAAGTGTCTGCCTTCGGCTCAGGTCATGATCCCGGAGTCCTGGGATCGAGTCCCACATCAGGCTCCCTGCTCAGCGGGGAGCCTGCTTCTCCCTCTGCCTGCCGCTACCCCTGCTGTGCACTCATTCTTGCTCTCTCAAGTAAATAAATAAATAAAATCTTAAAACACACACACACACACACACACTATAGAAGATGGCAGAAGCACCTAAATGACACCGTGAGAAAGCAATTAGGCAAATCTGGAGTGCGGGACACTACAGGACAGTTGGCCTGGCCTCTTAAAAAAACCCATCTTCTAAGAGCAGGTGGGGTGGAGCAGGGAGGCTACTGTAGAATTTAAAAAACACTAGAGACCTAAAAAACCAACGCAGAACTTGAACCTTGATTGGATCTTGGTACAGAACACAGCCAACAGTATAGAAGACTTTTGGGGCACAATTTGGGAAATCTGAGTATCAGACATTAGGGAATTAATGTTAGTCTTTCTTAGAAGTGATAATGGTATGAAGGAACACGTCATTTTTCAGAGATACAGACTTAAGTATTTAGGAGTGAAGTGTCAAGATGTCTGGAAACTACAGTTGACTCTTGAACGAGACATGTTTGAATTGCATGGGTCCACTTACCCACAGATGTTTCCCAATACACACACATGCAGTGCTATAAATGTATTTTCTCTTATGATTTTCTTAATAACATTTTCTTTTCTCTAGCTTACCTTATTATAAGAATAGTATATAATACATATAACATAGAAAATAACCGTTTTTTTTTTTTTTTTAAAGATTTTATTTATTTATTTGAGAGAGAGCACATGAGAGGGGGGAGGGTCAGAGGGAGAAGCAGACTCCCTGCCGAGCAGGGAGCCCGATGCGGGACTTGATCCAGGGACTCCAGGATCATGACCTGAGCCGAAGGCAGTCGCTTAACCAACTGAGCCACCCAGGCGCCCGAAAATAACCGACTGTTAATCAACTGTTATCAGTAAGGCTTCCACTCAGCAGTAGAAGCTACTAGTGGTTAAGTTTGTGGGGAGCCAAGTTATATGCGGATTTTTTTTAAATTTATGGATGGTTGGTGCCCCTAACTCTCACTTTGCTCAAGGGCCAACTGTACTTTTAAATGGTTTAGTAAAAAACACGTGTACACACCAAGTAAATATGACACAATATTAACAATTGTTAAACCGAGGTGGTGGGCTAACAGCAATTGTACTCATTGTCCACTTTTTCTGAACGCTTGAGATTTTCTGTAATAAAATGTTTAAGAGGGAATGTGCATTTTTAAAAATCTCTGCCGTCATAGAAATTACCTTCTGGTGTGTGTCGGGGCAATGATCAAGAGTGAATTAAGTAAAATACAGGGCATATTAGTGGTCAAGTACTTAAGAAACAAAAGGAGTGAAGGGCGGCAAACGTGTGTATGGGAGCTGAGATGGTAGGTCGAGGGGTCAGGGAAGGCCTGAGTTATATTTGAGGAAGACCTAAAGAGAGAGCCAAGTGGGTCTCTGGTGGAAAGGCATTCCAGGCAGGGCGAAGAGCAAATGCAAAGGTCTCCAGGTTGCAGACAGCCTGATGCATGTCGACGCTTCATTTGCTCACCCAGTTCCTGTCACCTTGAAAGGCCAGCATGGCAGGAACTGTGGGAGCAAACAAGAAGTGGTAGATCAGAGAGGAAACAGGAGAGCCCTATCAAATCTTTACCAAATCGAATACATATAATGTACATATTTGTAAATACTTGTAGATATATGGGCAGTCTCTGCAGGGGAATGCCCGGAAAACTGCTAATGGTGGCAGCCTCTGGGCAGAACTGGGCATCTGGGATCTGAGTAAGTTCCCTACATCTTTTCACTCGACTTCCTGTTTTATTTGAAATTTTCACCATGTTGAAGTTCTTTCTTATAGCCAACACATGACATAAGCTTCCACAGTTCCTCAAAGTCCCTGGGCATGCATGAGGGTCCTCTGCTTAGAGCCCTTCCTCCTCATAGGCAGATATTTCAGAAGATCCCTCCCCAGGGCCACTGTCCTTCAATACAAGAATCATCTCTCTGCTCATCTGAATGTGCTCTGGATAAGTCTGTCTCTCAACCATTTGAGTGGTCTTGAGGAAACACCAATCCAGCCACAACCTGATGCTCTAGCTAGTTATGCTGACTAGTCTGGTGGATGATACTCTGGACTATCATTGTGTGGCAATTTCTCTGGGAGCAGCAAGAAAATTTGGCCTACTTAAATGACTTTCCAATCATCACCATAACATTTAAGAGGTGGCCCAGAACAGAGGGAAATATTACACATTGTGCAGAAAACTGCTTATTAGGGACTCCCGGGTGGCTCACTCGGTTAAGCATCTGCCTTCACCTCAGGTCATGATCCCAGGGTCCTGGGATCGAGCCCCGCATCCGGTTCTCTGCTCAGTGGGGAACCTGCTTCTCCTTCTTCCTCTGCCTGCCCCTCGCCTACTTGTGCTGTCAAATTAATAAATCTTAAAAAAAAAAAAAAACCCTGTTTATTAGATATTAAAAATTTATCATTAATTTCTTAGATGTAATAATGGTAGTGTAATTATGTGTAAAATAAACCTGTGACTCTAAGAGACACATATACTTACTTATTTCTGGATAACATATGATCCCTAGGATTTACTTTAAAATCACCTAGAGGGGGAGGGGAATAATTAGAGGTGAAACTGACTGGTCATTTGTTGGTAACTGTTCAAGCTAGGTAATGGGTATATAGGAATTTTTATTATACTATTTTCATGTGGTTCAAAAATTACATAAGAAAAGTTTTTTGAAATTGTATAGATAATAAAGGGGAACATACAGATAAATTTTAGCACATCCAAGGGCTTGAGGCTATTCTGTATCACTCACTCTATTGTCTGGTATAGAGAAGGTGGTCAGTTTAATAACAAAACTTAAACAAAACAGAAAAAACCAGTCACCTTGAAGCCCCTCTTACTGGTCAAGGTATTAATTCCCACCACAGCTTCTTGCCCTATCACCTAGCTCTTTTACACATACGCAGTCTTACACTTTTCCAACAAGTATTTATTATTAGTTAAGCCATGATTCAGAATCCCAGGGCGGGGATCACCATGCACCCACGTCCCCCTTCACCTCCCTGGGAGAAGGAGGGAGGACAGAGGAGAGGTGGGTAAAGCCAGTTCAGATCTTCCCAGGAAATGTGCCTTCTGCCCGCCGGTCGTCCCAGGCTGACACCTGTGGAAAGACAGCCAGTGTTACCCCGTTCCTCTGTGGGGAAACCAGATGGGTGAACTCTGTCTTCCTCACTTTGCCCACCTGTTCAGTCGGTCAACAAGGAAGCCCAGTACTGCCACTGTTCCAGGAGTGGGGGAATCAGTAGTGACCCAGAAAGACAAGAATTACTGTCCAGAATGAACTGAGCCACTGAGGGGGTAGGGGGCTGGGGGGGGGTGCGGAGTAACAGGCAGAAAAATTCCACTTCACTGCAGGGCTGTCCCTGGGGAGACGTAGGACAGAGATTCAAGAGTGTGTGGCTGTGCCCTGTTTCAGGAACCCCAGAGTCAACACTCAATGATGTATGGCAGAAGAAAGGAAAGAAGAAATACTAGGCAGCTGTGAGGGGGGAAAAAAAAAAAAAGAGGCTGATCTATGCTCTGGCATGAATAGATCTCCAAGATATACAGTCAAGTGCAAAAAGATGCAAAACTGAATAGAGTGTGATCCTACTGTTGATCACAGATGTATGCATACATATAAACAATGACGGAAAGGCCCATATCCAACTGTTAACACTCCCCAGAAGTAACACTCTGCAACTTGTGGACCTTCCTATAGGCAGCCAGAGGCATATCCATTTAGACACACCCACTCACATTTATATGCCATATATTAGAGGCAGTGGACAAAAGCATGGATAAGGAAGACTGACTCTGAACCCCCACCCCATCACTTCCTAGCTGTGTGACCTTGGGCAAATTTCTCAACCTTTCAGGGCCTGAGTTTTTAATCATGCAAAATGAGGATAGTGATAATAGTATCCATCTCATCCCGTATTTTAGCATGTTTGCCCTCATAGGATATAAAGTGCTTACAAAGCAGCTGGCCCACGGTTAAGTGCCCATTTACACACATATATACAGACATGCACACACACATACCATATCACGAGTTCTACTCTGAAAAACATATACATAAATTGGGCCACACTATATAGATTGTCCTGCAACTTGCCTTTTCCCCAAGTCTTAGAGTGCTTTCTGTATTCTGTCACATAGGTCAAGATAAATGTGCCATCATTTGGGGTGCCTGGGTGGCTCAATCGTTGAGCGTCTGCCTTCGGCTCAGGTCATGGTCCCAGGGTCCTGGGATCGAGCCCCGCATCGGGCTCCCTGCTCAGCGGGAAGCCTGCTTCTCCCTCTCCCACTCCTCCTACTTGTGTTCCCTCTCTCTGTCAAATAAATAAATAAAATCTTAAAAAAAAAAAAATGTACCATCATTTATCTAACTTGGGTTGTTTCTGAATGCTCATTACAAACAATTCTGCTATGGACACATCCTTGTATACAAGCATCTTTGTAGGATGACCACGTGTAAAACTGCCAAATCTGCAGAGCTTTTTTTCCATTTTGAAAGATCCTGCCAAAATGACCTCAATTTATAATACCACTAACATTTAGCACAGTCAACCTTTATAATTCTTGCACCAGACTGCAAGGTAGAAATGAGCATCTCTCTGCTGTTTAAGCTGTGTTGTCCTGATGATTTGAATGGGGGATGGACATCTTTTCAAAAATGCCTGGGTTCCCCTGGATTCCCTCGCACTGGACTTGTACTGTCCATAGTCCACAGTTTTCTATGTGTGAATTTCTCATTCGCTGGGTTTACCTCTCTCTCTCTCTTTTTTTTTTTTTTTAAAGATTTTATTTATTTATTTGACAGAGACACAACGAGAGTTGGGGAGGGAGAAGCAGGCTTCCCACCGAGCAGGGAGCCCGATGCGGGGCTTGATCCCAGGACCCCGGGACCATGACCTGAACCGAAGGCAGACGCTTAACGACTGAGCCACCCAGGTGCCCCGGGGAAAATATTTCTTGCAGTGGAATTGTACACTGAAGTGTCATTTAAAAAAGCGAAAAAAAGGGGCGCCTGCGTGGCTCAGTCAGTTAAGCGTCTGACTCTTGGTTTTAGCTCAGGTCATGATCCCAGGGTCCTGGGATCAAGCCTCACATCAGGCTCCCTGCTAGAAGCTAAGCAGGGAGTTGGGTTTCTCCCTCTGCCCCACCCCTGCTCATGTTCTCGCTCTCTCAAATAAATAAATAAAATCTTAAAATTTTTATTCTTACTTCACCAAGTTTTTGAAATAAAGAAGCCAGGGCAGCCAGTATAAAGGGGGCTTTGCAGAATACATTTATAAGCCCTAACAAAGGGGACATTGCCAGCACCTGAGGGTAGGAACCACACAATCTGATGCTCCCAAGGCGAGGGCAGACCCAGGTCACAGAGAATGGGGTATAGGGCCAGCACGGGGACTGGAAGCATGCTTCCTGGCCCCCTGTCTAGCACAAACCTGATGCAGGCTCTGAGGGTGGAGGAGGGATGCTATGTACTTACAACATCAGCTTACTCAAGGTCATCCAGGGATAAGGGGAAATCCTTGAAGGGCACAGGGCACTCAAAGACACTTGAGACAGTGTGGCTGGAGAGCGGGGAGGAAAACCAGGCAAGCTGAGGGAGACTGCATTAACGCAATCTGTTCTCAAGAAATAAGCCCCGAAGGCATACATCAAGGATGTTTCAAATATACTGAAAAAACTAGAACATCATCTCCATCAAAAGGGAATCAGTTAAATAAAAGCATATGAAACTTACTAAAACAAGTAAGGCAGACCTATACGCATTATTATAAGAAAGGCTTCAAGACACATTGATTAGGTCAAAGTAGTCAAAGACCATATAGTATGACCCACCCATACACAGAAAGCTCCCCAGGTCTCTATGATTATTTTATACAGAGAAGAAGGTAATCAGCTAACAGTAGTTACCTCAGGGAAGGGGGGCTGGGGAGCACAAGAGGGCTCCTACTTTTATTTTACTGTACTGCTTACTTTTTTTTTTTTTAAGACTTATTTATTTGAAAGAGAGCTAGACAGAGCAAGAGAGCCCATCTGAATGGGAGGAGGGGGAAAGGGAGAGAAAGAATCTCTAGCAGATACCCCGCTGAGCGCAATTCTGGGCTCCATCTCATGACCCTGAGATCATGACCTGACCCGAAATCAAGTGTTAGATGCTTAACTGACTGAGCCACCCAGGCACCCCTGTTTTTTGTTTTTTAAATGAGTACTATGACCTGTAATAGTATCATTATTTTGGGCGCCTTGGTGGCTCAGTTGGTTAAGCGATTGCCTTCGGCTCAAGTCATGATCCTGGAGTCCTGGGATCGAGTCCCACATTGGGCTCCCAGCTCAGCGGCGAGCCTGCTTCTCCCTCTGATCTTCTCCCCTCTCATGCTGTTTCTCTCTCTCTCTAATACATAAATAAGTAAAATCTTAAAAAAAAACCCAGTATATTTTGATTCTAAGACACAAGGGCTTTTTATTTTAACATCTCTGAAATTAGCATGCTGGTTACATTCACTTCCAGCATTTTAAAAAAAGATTTGACCATCTCTCCATGTTTCTTGCAGTCAATGGGATTTTTACTTTGAAGAAACAGTACAATATTAAACATAAATTCTTTATTTGAAAAAGTGTATGACAGAGTATTAAATGGTGACAAAAGGTCTGGTCAGATCAGGGCTAAACAGACTAACTGCCTTATTGGGTCTGAGTCTTCTAGAGATGCACACTGAAGTAGGTAGGGATGAAAAGACATGCTTGGGATTTGCTTCAGAACACTTCAGCAAAGAAGAAAAGGGGACAGATGAAGGGAATGTGGAACAATCTTGAAACTATTCAATTTGGGTAGTGGGTATAATTGGGGGTCACTGAATTATTCTATTTTTATGTATAATTTGAAAATGTGCATAATAAAAAGGCAGAGAATTGCACAAGATGGTGAGCCCCACAGGGACGGGGAGCCAGCACTGTGTATCTATTTGTGGAGTTCACGGGCAAGAGGGATGTGCCGAGGAGAGGGCCCTGGTCGCCCTGGCTGAGAGCCCTGACAGGTTGAGAGTACCGGTGAACAGAGAGAAGGGAGGCAATTCCAGAAAGAAGACAAGGCCGAGTCCCATGGATGGCGCGATGCCCTGTCCTCCCTCTGCCTCTCCCAGATGAGCCCCCTCCAAGCTACCATACTTCTCTCTGCTAAGACCCCACCCCAGCGTCCCAAGGGCCCCAGGAGGTGGCACGTACCCAGGATATGGGGCAGAGGGACTTGTACACACGACGGTACCATTCGCACACGGAGACATCACCCCCTTTAGCAGTCATTGCCTTCTCACAGCGGTGGAAGTCTGTGGAGAGAGCAGTTCAGGGTCAGCCCGGGCCAAGGGCTAGAACACATTTTTTATCAAAACTCACAGAAATTGTCTTTACTTCACAACCAGTTACATACACACATACACCCACAAAACAAGTGTCACAAGGAATGTCTATTCCTACAGATGTACTGAAAAGGGCTAGACAGGCCTTGCTAAGTTGATTTTGCAACCCCTAGACAACTGTTTGACTTGAAAATTTTGGGGTCTGGAATGAGGGGGCAACATGAGGGGCATGTATGAAGTCCAAAACCAGGGCAAGGGAAGGGGAAGATGATCTTGGGGCTAAGATGCTGGCATCCTACAGAGGAGGACAGGAGGAGGATAATCTGGTTTTTTTAAGTAGGCAATTAATTAAAAAAAAGAAAATTACTCCAGGTATTCCACTCCTGGGCACATTCTCTACACAGAAAAGCATTCGCATGGACATCAAATTACATTTAAGAGAACGTTTATAGCATAGTCATTCATAAAAGCCCCAAACTGGAAAGCACACAAGTGTCTGGGAATACATGATGGAAAACTGTACACAATGAAAATGAGCAAACTACACGCCACAGCAAGGATGAATCTTCAAAACTGCTGAATGAAGAAACCCAAACAAAAGACAATATATACGATATTTGTCAAGGTCATCAAGAGGCGAACCTAAAAGCAGTGATAAAACCAAAATGTGATTGCCTTAAGCCGGCAGGGTAGCATCTCTGGTGCAGAGAGTAGGATGTTGTGTTTACGACAGGGCATGCAGTAGGCAAAGAAGCTCAGAATGCTGACAGGATCTAATTTTCTATCCAGGTTATAGTTACACAGGGGATTCACTTAAGTATTATTCATTTAGCTGTACGTTATATTTTATGTATTTCCTGTATGTATGTTAACATCTGTCTCATACACACACAAATAAATCTTAAAAAAATATATATATATATCATTGTAGGAATCAAAGTTTGTGACCCTGGCCCAGATCTTGGATCTTGAACACAGCTGTGATGAGGGGCATGAGCCTGGCAAAGTAGGATGTTCAGACGGAAAAAAGAGGCCTAGGATGTACAGATCCCCTAGGAGCAGGCAATAGGTAAACACCTTGAAGTGTAGGACCAGGAAAAGGTTCCGCATCCCTTCGCACCCCCGTGCCCTGCTTACCCAGGTAGTTCTGCCAGCAGTTCCTGGTCTGGTTCTGGTTGGGGAAGCGGCTGTCAAAAGGGGCAGTCTGGTAGTTCTTGATTTTGGTCTTGATGTCTTCTGCCATGGTGCTGATTCTTGGAGGCAAAGAGAGTGGATGTTGGCAAAAGTTCTTGGGGGCCTGGGCACGGGGATGTCAGCCCACCCAGACACAGGAGAATGGAGTAGGTAGGTGTGAACAAGCCACCACTTTCTCCCTCTCAATATATACACACAGAGGTGAAGGGTGGGGCAAACCCACACATCTAAGTGTGGCAGTTACAGCAGGGCTTGGTGGAGGGGGGTTACTACTTAGCAAAATCAGGTCTTATTCATTCCAAAATAACACCAGCTAACATTCACTGGTGCTTAGTCGAGGCCAAGCACTGTTCTACACTTTACTCCTGCAGCCACTCTAAAAGGTAGGAACTACTGCTATCACTGTTTCAGACAAGGGACCGGGCGTCTAAGTGACTTCCCAAGGTCATACAAGTAGAGGAACTGCACCCCATCATCGACAGAACCTACACTGCAGAGGTTCTTCATCTCTTTGGTGCCATGAACTCCTCAGGGGTCTAATGACTCTCTCTCAGAATATTTTTAAATGCATTAAAAAAAACTGCAGAGGATCACAAAGAACACCAGTTGTATGTAGCTGAGGGCTTACTGACTACCACAATTTTGAAGTAATCAAAAGTGGAAATGTATTCTGTGACATCTGCAACCATAATGTGATATGAGATGACCTGTGATTTTGATTGCTAATATTACTAAGGTTGTTGCCTCCAGTCCTAACTGAAGGAAATGCTACATTTCAATTACAGATTAAGAAAAATACAGATGTAATTTTTTCCCCATTCAAGTCCTTAGCACACCTTGCATTCTATTGATTTTGCAGACCCAGAGTTAAAAACCTGTTATAAAGTCTTTTAGGAGGTGACACGCAGTTTTCACCAGGGAATGTGAAACTGCCTCTATCCTAGAGAATTCGAAGAATAATGGGGTTACAAAGAAGTGATCAGGCCAGTGTTAAATTCAAGAGATCCAAGATAGTGATGGGGATCTGGGGAACCACAGCGTTGTATCTGGGGGAAAAGCACAGAGGGGCGTGGGGAGGGGGACGTAGAATACCAGCGCTGGGACCCAGATTTGTTCGGAGCAGTTGTTTTGCGGGGGGGGGGGGGGGGGGGGTGTTCATAGATGACTCTGAGGCCTCTCCAAAGTCCAAGCGGGAGGGAGGACCAGAAACTAGGGAGCCAGGCTGCGACCCGGGCAAGCCACGGGAGGCCACGCCTGCGGTCTGGTGATTGAGGGCACTACAGTCCAAACTACAGAATCCAAACCCTGGACACTGGCTGAGCAGCTTAATATCGCTGAGCTTCAGCTGCGCCACTGTCAAAAAGGGATCATTACAGGCCCTACCTCATAGGGCTGGAGGGAAAACAAAATGAATTAATAAAGTCACTTGAAATGTTACCTGGCATTAAAGAAGAGCTACATAATCGTTAGCTAGACGACTACTAACAGAACAGAACCCCAGGGACCAGGGAGGCCGGACGCCGCGGGCTACAAACGCACTTCGTTCTCGGGGAAACTAGAGTCCGGTTCCTCAATTCCCCAGGATAGGGTCCCAGCTACCCAAGCCCTCGACACTCACCTAAACACACCACAGCAACACCTCGCAGCTCAATGTGACCCTCAGCAAGAACGCCAGAGTCGGACCGGAAGCGGAATTAAGACCGGCCGGAAGTGAGGAGAGGCCGAGTAAATGAGAGTCTTCCGCATGGCTAGAGCGCCCTCGTGGAGGCCGTCCGCCAAGCCATTAAGGCCACGCCCATCCGGGCGAACCCCGAACTCCTATTGGGCTGAATGCCTGTTCATCATCACTCTCGGCCCAATCGTGAGCTTGCGTGGCACTTCGAAGGTCCAGTGGGGGCTTGAGACGCTGGTTACCGGTTCTCATCACCCTCCTGTTTTCACCTAGGGAAAAGAGTTTTGTTTCTTGGGGCTAGTTGTGGAGTGGGCCTGGGGAAAATATCCCAGCAGAAGTATGCGTATTCATGCAAGAATTACTTATTGAACGCTTACCCTGTGCCAGGTACTTCTGTAAGGCTTGGGGAAGCATCACTGAACAAAACACAAGAATCCTTACCCTCTTTATGCTTATTACGGTATCAATTGTTAGGGGTTTGAAATCGAACCAGTTTTTCTCCCAGGGTCATTTGCCACATTATAAGGAATACCCAGACTCCACGTCCCTGTTCATTATCTTCTTTCCCCAGGCCTCAGAAGGCACAAATTAACACAGATTTGGGTTCCTGAGGACTCAAACCAAAGTCCTGCATCATAGGAGGGGTTAAGAATAAAAGCTTGGGTCTGGCAGAAATTAATCCATCTCGGAAAGTGACACATCTATGCTTCTAGTCACAGAGGTAGCTCTGACTCTCATACCCCACAGCTGATCTGTCAAGAAATCCTGTTGGCTCTGCCTTAGCAATATATCCAGAATTTTCTCCGACATCTGGTTCAAGTCACAGGCACCTCTAGCCTGGGCTATTGCAGTAGTCCCCTCCCTGGCCTCCTGGCTTCCCCACTGCCCTCCACAATCATCCACTCAGCCAGAGGGGACCCTGTTAACACCTCAGTCAGATCACTTCCCTTTGGCCTAGAACCCTCCCCTTGGGTCTTGTCTGACTCTCTCAGTCAAAAGCCAAAGTCCTTACAAATGACCTACACAGTTTTGTCTCTCTTATACCCTCATTTCCTATCCTTCCTATCTTTCCTCCCACTGTCCCAGCCACACTGGCCTCCTCCTACTTAAACATGCAGGCTGACTTTCCTCTAAGGGCCTTTGCACTTGCTGTCCCCTTGACCTGCAATGCTCTTCCTGAAGCTGGCTCCCTCCCTCACCTCCTTCAGGTCACCTTGGTTAGTCCTTCCCAGACCAGATATTTAAAATGGGCATCTCGGGGCGCCTGGGTGGCTCAGTCGTTAAGCGTCTGCCTTCGGCTCAGGTCATGATCCCAAGGTCCTGGGATCAAGCCCTGCATCGGGCTCCCTGCTCAGCGGGAAGCCTGCTTCTCCCTCTCCCCCTGCTTGTGTTCCCTCTCTCGCTGTCTCTCTGTGTCAAATAAATAAATAAAATCTTTAAAAAAATAAAAAAATAAAAAATAAAATGGGCATCTTGTCAGTCCATGGGAGGACCATTCTTTTTTAGGGGCTCAGTGGTTCCCAGAATGGGGTAGGGTCTCCTTGGGGTCTAGATCGTAGTTCTATCACCCTCAGCTTGGAGTGGGAAGACAGGAGGTGGTTTGGGGGATCAAACCCTAGGCCTAATTTTCCTTAGGAAAAGCACCGGAAGGACACACATAAACTGTTTTTTGGAGTCTTGAGTCCTCTCTTCAGGAGGGACACGGTAGGTAAACTGAAAGTTAGTGATTGGGTCTGATTCCTTTACAAGTCCCAGCACAGGCAGGCACATACTAGGCCCTGTAGGGACTGAGACGATTCCTTTGAGAGAGCTTGTTTGGAGGTTCTAGCAGGGGAGCGCAGCTACTCGTATACCCTTGACCGAAGAACGGTCCTCCTCTATCGGGGAAGGTCGTCCTCTTCGACCGAGCGCGCAGCTTCGGGAGGGACGCACATGGAGCGGTGAGGGAGGAAGGGGACACCCGCCTAGCCAGCCAGATCAGCCGAATCAACCCTGGCGATCAATGGGGTGACAGATGTCGCAGCCAGATCGCCCTCACATCCTGAGACGATTCCTTTGAAAGTCCCATCACACAGTGAGCACACAAGTAGGTCCCCTAAGGGTCTGGGTGTGTCTTAGGGTCACACAGGCGGGGGGTGGCGGTGGCGGTGGGATGTGAGTGTGGTGGTGCACACTTAGAGTCCCTATTCGGTTTAGTCAGTATCCGTGGGAAGGATGCAGGCAGCACTCACGACTAGTTTGATGGGATATTTTTATTGGGTCGCTCCTCCCGGTCCACCCCCAGCGCAGTCCGGATAGGCCAGGCCGGGCACGCGGCCCCCGAAACGGTACGTGTACTTGCGCCCACCGCTCTTGCGCACGATGTCGCGACGGTAGTAGTAGCGCAGGCCTCGGCTCAGTTTCTCGTAGTTCATGCCGGGTTTCCTCTTGCGCTCACCCCACAGCCGCGCCACCTAGGACAGAGGCCCGGCTTAGTCTGAGAGGGCAGGAGGGGGCGGGGCTTGGCCACTGACGGGCGGGGCGGGGGGTGCGGTTTCGGGTACGATCTGGACGCGAGTTCGTCCAGGTAACTCCCGGCGGGGTTGAGAGGAGTACGAGCTGGGGGCGGGGCCAACTACTAGGCATACAGAATGGCCCGGCTAAATTGAACGGGAGGAGACCGGGGCGGGATTTGGCGCGCCTGGGAGGCTCCCCCACCTCTCTGGGGTCACACAGCTGGAACTCGCGGCTGTTGCCAGTCCAGCGGATGCAGTTGCTACGCTCCCCGTCTCGGAGAAGTTCCAGGAGGAACTGCCACAGCTGAATGGGACCTGCAGAGTGCAGACAGGTGAACACTCAGGCTTCCTAGCCCCAGACCATGTCCCTTCGACGACCCAGCTGTCGGGGCTCCCTCGCTTCGAAGGTCCAGGGGTCCAGGTCCTCCCAACTCGGGGCCCAGAAGTCCAGATCCCCTCCTCCTCGGGGCCCAAAGAGTCCGGATCCCTCCATATAAGAAACCCAAGAATCGGCCTCAGGGACCCACGCAGCCGAGGCCCCCAGCTCGGAAACTTAGAGGAGTTTGGCTGCCACACCTTGGTGACCCAGGCATCCAGACCCTCACCTCTTTCCTCTCACCTAATCCAGGAGCCTAGGTTCTGGTCTCCTGCTCCCTATTAGACTACCAGTGTCTCAGTCCTCTTCTCCCTCAGGACCCACCCTCACCGCCTTTCTCGGGCTCTTAGGTAACTAAGCCCCGCACCTTCCCTGCCAATTTCCCGGGTCCCGCCCTAACGCGCCTAGACCCCGCCTCACTGGAGTCTGGTGGGGCGGACTTCTCACCTCGGTGGTTATTTTTGGGGTAACAAGCCAAGGTTACGCCGCCCGACTGCTGGCTTGGTTCGGAGGACGTGGTGAGATCTGAAGTCTGGTACCCCTTTGAAGAGGTGGTGCAGTCCGTTTGCAGCCCCGAGACCCAGGAGGTGGTATAGTCTGAGCCCGCAGGCCCACCCAACGAAATGGTAGAGTCCGCGCTCGGCTCCCCGCGGAGGCCCTTGCCCCAGTAGGTGGGGCCGTCGAGGCCAATAGAACAGTCCCAGTTGGTGGAGCTGGCGGCGGCCTGGGCGCAGGACCACGAGTTGGTCCCTCCCCCGGAGATGGTACAGTTCTGGCCCGCAGCCCCCGCAGCACCAGCTAAGGGGGCGGGACCCAGGCCGGGAGGGGCGGGGCCCAGGGCCTGGAAGACGCCGCTCCAAGGGTCCGAGCCGGTGCACTCCAAGTCTGTCCAGTCTCCCGACCACCGAAGAGCCTGAGGGGCGGGCTCTGTGAGGAGTAACAGACCCCAAGTGAGGGGAGCACAGGTGTCCCGGTCCCCGGCCCCCTCAGGGGTTCTTGGGAATCTAAGCTCTCAGCCCTGGCGCCCTGGGCTCCCGGATCTAGGCCATGCCATCTCGAGGACACAGGGGTTCCCGTCCTAGCCCCGTTCCCCTCAAAGATCAAAGAGTTTAAACCTCTAGCTACGGTGGAGGACCCTAGTCCCCTCCTTACCCCGCCTCTGCGCACACACTCACCCGCCCCCCATGGAGCTTCTGGGTGCGGTAACGCGGAGCCCCAGTCCGGCTGTGGGAGCCCTGTGAGGGATAAGAACGAGCAGAGTTTAGGGAAGGGTGTGAGCAATGACTAGAGACGCCCCCTCGACCACTCACCCAGCAGTCTTTATTTGTCAGGGACTGAGTTATTGCCCCCAGCCCCTACTCACTCACACCTAGAACTCAGGACCCTGGCCTCGTCCTCTTTCAACCTCAGGACTTCAAGCCAGCAGCCCTCTCCCCCTTCAGCCTCAGGAGTCCAGGCACGCCCCCTTCCTCCCTCAGACCCAGGAGCCCAGCCTCTCACCTTCCTCAGCTCCCAGGAGTCCCAGCCCACAGTCACCTTTCCAGCGTGTCTCCGCTATCAGCGTGTCTCCGGGGAGCGCCAGTTCGGGGAAATAGAAGCCGAGTTCAGCTCCTTCTGCAGGCAATGAGGCGGGTAGGGCCGGGTCGGGGTCAGCGGAGGCCCCCACCTGTGCACCCTCCCCTCACAAGGACTCAGCCCCAGCAGCCTACCCAGCCCTGACAGCCTGTTCCCTGGGGGCACTTCCTGTGGAGACGCTTCATCCCAGTTCCAGATGTCCATGGATGCTCCTTGTGAATGTTCTGGACAGGGGAAAAAAAGGGGGTAAGGGGTGAGCTGGTGACACTTAGGGACCCTGGAGTCTGGGCCCCAGCTCTTGCTTCCCTCAGACCCAGGAGTCCGGGCCTTTTGCTCCCTCCTTCCCCAGGACCCTGGAATCTTGGCCTCCAGTGTCCCTTTTCTCAGACTAGGAGTAAGGGACCTCAGCCCTCCCCTCCCTCAGACCCAGGAGTCCAGGGCCCCAGACATTCAGTCCCCAGTTCATGGCTCACCTCTGGCGGGTTTCTCTGTCCCCGGCCAGGGGTCTCAGCCCCATTTCATACCATGTACCCCCTCCCCTGGGGGCCTGGGCAGGGGGGAATTTTCCGAGACGTCAGAGCCGGGGGTCGCAGCCGGGTCGAGTTGCAGGGCCCGGGGCGGGGCCAAGCGCCCCCCGCCCACCCCCCCCACCCCTCAGGGATGGCCGCCTGCCTCCTGATAGCTACAACTGTCCTGCTGCAGGGGTGGCTTGGACTTGGGACAGGAGCTTGGGGAACGGCGGGCTGTGAGAGACCCGGGGTGCGGAGGCGTGTTTACGGGGTGATGGGGGTGGAGCGGGGGGGTTGGGTGGCCAGGTTTTCCGTCTTGGGGACTTGATCCTACGACATGGGGGGTAGGGGGGAGGGCCTGGGGTCAGCTGGGCTGCGCCAGGCTTATCTGCAACAGGAAGGGGGATTTCCGGCCAGACCCCAGGTCCGCCAACGTCACAATCTGTGGGGGGACTGCGAGGCGGGGTGGAGGAATATGGTTGGGGGAGGCCAACCCAGGATCCCCTTTGAGGGCTTTGAGGACGTTCTGGGGCTGCTCTTGAGGAGTGTCAATCATGATAACACATCAACAATGTAAACAATAACCAGAGTAATTCTAATAGCTAACAGTTATTGAGGGCTCACTGCATGCCACCAACTGTACCAGGGGCCTTCATTTAATCCTTTTCTGAGGTAAGTACTAGTCTTCGTTTTATGAAAAGGGAAATTGAAGCGGACTTCCTTTCACTTCTCTTCATCTCCAGAATCCTATGCTGTAATAGTTTGAGACAAATGGGGGAAATTTGAGTATGAACTGAATATGAGGTATAGAATTATTCATTTTCTGAGATATGATTATGGTCTGAAAGATGTCTCTATAAGGAAATGAACACATATTCAGGGGTGAAGTATTACTTGTTTCAAATGATTCAGCAAAAAAAAACCCAACCCACCTGTATACGTGTAACATGTACATACATGCAATAGTTGGGACATAATTATACTAAAAAGTTATTTATCCAAAACTTCAAATATAACCTAGGTCTCCTGTTTTTTTTTTTTAAGTTTTGTTTATTTATTGGAGAGAGAGAGAGAGAATGCGAGCAGGGGGAGGGGCAGAGGAAGAGGGGGAGAGAGAAGCAGAATCCCCGCTGAGCGCTGAGCACAGAGCCCAAGTGGGGGCTCGATCTCACAACCCTGAGACCATGACCTGAGCCAAAATCAAGAGTTGATGCTTAACTGACTGAGCCACCCAGGTGCCCCTGTCCTGTAATTTTATTTCCTAAATCTGGTAACCCTAAACCTAGGTAGCTTGGCTTAGAGCCTGTGGTTGTACCCATCCTGCTGTATGTATTAGTAAGTATTTACCATTAAAAAGAACCTCTTTGATATGGGCATTTTCCAGTATTCACCCTGCCTGACCATTAACCACCTGCCATTCTGGGGGTGGGAGGACGGGGGTGTGGGCACTGCTCTTCTGTTCATGTTACATTAGGGAAACTGGGCCTTAGGAGGGAGAGGCACTTAATGGGTCACAGAGTGGGCAAGTGGGGAGTGCTGGGATTGACCTCAGCATTGGGGGAGCAAAGAGCCCCCAGGCATCACTGCTCCACCATCCATCCAACCCAGGGGCCTGCAGGGTATCCTGCTGATCCCCACCAGGCCCCAGGCCTCCTCTCCCTGAGCTGGCCTTTCTCCTGTGTGTGTGTCTGTCCATGGCTCTCTGCCCAAGTTAGTGTCCCTGGCTCTGGGTCTCTGTTGCACCAGGCCTGACTCCAGTGAGGCCTTGTGAGGCCATGTCACCCTCCCCATCTCTCTCCCTACTTCCTTATCTCTCCGTCCCCATTTCTCTCTTTGGGTTTTCTCCCCATGTCCCTTCCCATTGTACTGCCTTCACCTGCAGTTCTCACCTCTCCATCTTTGTCTCCCTCCCCATCTCTCCATCTCGGGCTTGCTACATCTCTTCATCTCTGTCCATCCGTCTCTCAACCCCGCCGTTGAGCTTTCTCTCCCTTTCCTCAGGAGGACTTAAGTGCACACATTTAAAAGCTTCCTTTCGGAGATAAACCGTAAGAGACTCTTAATCATAGGAAACAAACTGAAGGGTTGCTGGAGTGGAGGGGGGCTGGAGGTATGGAGTAACTGAGTGATAGACATTAAGAAGGGCACATGATGTTATGAGCCCTGGGTGTTATATAAGACTGATGAATCACTGACCTCTACCTCTGAAACCAATAATATATTATATGTTAATTAATTGAATTTAAATTAAAACAAACAAAAGGTTCTTTCCAGCAATCATTCCCTCTTCCCATCTCCTCCCTTGTCCTGTGACTGAAGTGAGCAGGGGGGGGTCAGAGCAGGAAGGGCTAGTGATGTGGGGGTAGGGATTGAGGGTCTTGGGGCTGGGTAGTCTAGCCCGGGTGGCAGGGGGCTGAAGGGCACTTCCTGTGAGGGAGGGAGGCCCTCACCCTTCTAACCAGACTGGAAAATGTGACGTCAGAGAGGGAGCAGTAAGGGAGGAAGGCGGGAACAGAGGAAATTTGACACCTCTCCCAGGCGACCAGCTTCCCAGAGGTCTTGGCATTGTTTCCTTCTTCCTCCCATGCCCCCTCTCAACCCAGGGTTCTGCTGGCTCTGCCCCTGGGAGACCCTCATCCCCTCCCCACGCTTGAACCACGCAGTCTCTCTCCTCTGCTTGGTACCTGCCCCTGCCTCCTTCAGGCCTCTAGTCCACAGCATGGCTGTGTCAGGGCTCTTTCTAAAGTGCAAATCTGATGCCAATCCCCTGTTTGAACTTGGTTCCAGCTTCTCAGGGCTTACTGCTGCCTTCAGGGTAAAGTCTAAGCTCTTAGTGTAGTGTTCAAGATCCTGCTTGGACACTTCTTCAGACAGGCAATGTCAAGCTTAGGACTGGGAAAAGAGAGGCAGGAGAGATCCATAGATGCAGAGAGAGAATAGAGACTCAGAGACAAGAAACAGAGGGGCACTCACAGAGACACTCACAAGGAAACAGACACAGAGAAGCACTCAAGGGAGTCCACACAGACATAAGGCAAAAGAATGCGGCTGGGGTTTGGCAGAGTGAAGAAACTGGGAAACAGTCTCAGAGATGCAGAGGGTGAGAACTGCAGAGACTGGGAGAGAATAACAAGAAGAGCATGAGACAGACTCAGAAGTGGCCAGTTCCTTCAGGAAGCCCTCCCCGACTCCCAGGTCAGCACCCTGGGCTCCGCATCCCAACTCTGACCACTCCGTGTGGCAACGGGCCTATCTGCCGCCATAGGACCATGAGCTCTGAGGGAACAGAATCCAGGACTGTTTCAGTCACCATGCCCCCAGTACTGGTGAGGCCTTCGGTGACTTTGCTGCATGGATGAAAGCCTGGAAAGCTGTGACCTCCAGAAGGGCAGGGCCCAGAAGACTCCCTACCTTGGTACTGAGAATACAGGCTGGAGTCAGAAGATAACTGGACTGAGTCTCGGCTAGGTTTTGGCCTAGCTATAGCCTCTGCTTTCTCCTCTGTGGAATGGGCTGCACTCAGCATGCACGTAAAAGAGGCTTCAGGAAGATGTGATGGGCGCACAGTAGGGATGGAAAAATGCCCATCTGCATGTTTGTCTAGGTAAACTTTTAAAGCCCCACACTATTTACTATTCCCAGATTGGGGGATGTCAAGTCCTGCTCCCCAAAGAGTGCTTCCAAGCCCAGCCAGGGACGGAAATAACGTAAATTTATTGAAACTGGTTTTGGAGAAGGTGGGTGGGTGGATAGTTGGGGATCTTCCAAAGATCTGGGAGAAGAGCCAGCGCCCGGCCAGGAGGGAGCGGGTGCCTGGCCACAGACCCTATCTCAGGCCCAGTTTCTTCTTCTCCTTCTGCTTCTTGCGTACCACATCCAGGTTCCGGTCCTTCCACATACTCTTGCGCAGCTTGATGGGGCGTGAGCCCACATACTTCCCTGTGGGAATGGAGGATTCAAGGTCAGACAAGGTCAGGCTTAGGCCTGATGCTGGTCAAACCCACGGTCCCTGAGAGAGGCCTCACCCACCGTTCATCTCACGCATGGCGCGCACGTAGTCGCTGGGGTCCTTAAAGCTGACAAAGCCATAGCCCTTGGTCTTGCCTGTGCGCTTGTCTCGGATCACCTTAGCCTTAAGGAAGGATGGGAAGCGGCTGAAGGCGCGTGCCAAGATGTCATCATTTACTTCATTGCCCAAATCCCCACAGAAGATCCGGAAGTCATCTGGGGTTGGGAAAGAGGAGGTCAGAAGATACAGAAGTCTGGCCCTGTGTCTGCCTTATTTAAATAGCCCCCCTGCTCTGGAGGCATCCCCCAAACCCTCCTCCCTCTGTATCCCCAGCAGTCTCAGGCTGGGGCCCTCTCCATAATAACAGCCAACATCTGTATGGTATTTACCCTGTGCTAGGCTCTTGGCTAAGTACTTGCGAGGTTTTAACACATCTGGAACTCCCAATGGCCCTTTTACCCCAAGGCACAGAGAAGTCATGTTACCTGCCCAAAGTTACTCAACCAGGTAGTGGCTGAGCTAGGACAAGAACTTAGGCACCTGGCTCCAGAGTCTTCACTTTTAACTACCTGCACTGCCTTTCCACACCCCAGGGCCATCTCGCCCATTGCCATAATGAAGGCTCCTCTGTCCTAGCCCTGGCCTCTCCTCTGAGCCCCTGGCATCCCTTGGTCTCCTGGACAGCTCCCCATGGATATCCCCAAAGCTCCTGACACCCGTTTGCTTTCTCTGCAAAGCCTACCCTAATTCCCCGAAACATGAACACGCTGTCTGATCCCTCTCCAAGGCTGACCTCAGCTGCCATTCCTGAGCATATCCCCTGGGCTGGGCCTGAGCCAGACCAAACACACTCAAGCCCAAAGCATCCCTTCCCTGACAAGGCACATGCTATTATTATCCCCTTGCTGGAGTGAGGAAAGGAGGATAGAAAGGCTAAGTGACTTGTCCAAGGTCACAGAACTAGGGTCTACAGCCTGCACTGACCACATCTAGGCTGACACTGCCATGCCCTGGCTTGGGGTAGGTAGACGTCAGGTCTGCTTCCTCAGCCAGCACTGTGGCTGCCCCACAGCCTCTGTGGTGATTAACGACACTCTCCCGGAACAAGTTAGACCGCCCTCAGAGGAAATGGTCTGGTAAACTCAGAGGGAGGGGTCCTCTACAAAACAACTGGGCTGGACACTTCAAAAAACTGCTATACACAAGACAAAGCGGTAGGAGGGAGACCATTCTTATTAAAAGATAATCTAGAGGGCACCTGGGTGGCTCAGTTGGTTAAGCGACTGCCTTCGGCTCAGGTCATGATCCTGGAGTCCCGGGATCGAGTCCCACATTGGGCTCCCTGCTCAGCGGGGAGTCTGCTTCTCCCTCTGACCCTCCCCCATCTCATGCTCTCTCTCACATAAATAAAATCTTTAAAAAAAAAGATAATCTAGAGACTGAAAACTGCATGCATCCTGATTCACAGGAAAAGATGGCTGTAACAGATGGTTTAGGGACAACTGGGAAAACTTAAAGGGAATATGAGATACCACAGAATGACCATTCATTTTCTTAGGAATGTTAATGATATTATGATATAAAAGAGACTGTCACTTTTCTTTTTCTTTTTTTTTTAAGATTTTATTTATTTATTTGACAGAGAGAGACACAGCGAGAAAGGGAACACAAGCAGGAGGAGTGGGAGAGGGAGAAGCAGGCTTCCCGCGGAGCAGGGAGCCCGATGCGGGGCTCGATCCCAGGACCCTGGGATCATGACCTGAGCTGAAGGCAGACGCTTAACGACTGAGCCACCCAGGCGCCCCTAGACTGTCACTTTTCTTAGGAGATGAATGTGGAGGTATTTAGGAGGGAAGTGATAACTTCATTTATAACTTGCTCCAAATGACTGAGCAAAATCCAGAAAAACCATACATACACATAGAAGGATAAAGTGAATACAGCAAAATGTCAATTGCTGAATCTAGGTGCTGGATATATATGGCTGTTCTCTGTGCAATTCAGTGTTAAAAAAATTTTTTTTAAGATTATATTTATTTATTTGACAGAGAAAGAGCACACCACACACAAGCAGGGGGAGTGGCAGGCAGAGGGAGAGGGAGAAGTCGACACCCCACTGAGCAGAGAGCCCGATGTGGGGCTGGATCCCAGGACCCTGGGATCATGACCTGAGCCAAAGGCAGATGCTTAACTGACAGAGCCACCCAGGCGCCCCCAGTGTTTAAAATTTTTCATAAGAAGCTGAGAGAAAAAAAATGCTCTTTTACCTTTAGCAAGCCAGGCCTCTCATGAATAAAACAGAGTTCAGAAAGTCCTAGGTGCCAATTGCCTCTACCACATTCTGTTCAGTGGTTAGGTGAGGGCCTGCCCCTCAGAGCCATAGTCTAGCCCTCCACCATGTAGGCAAATAACAGGGCCTGCCCTATAGAGAGGCGGCAGTTGTGGAGTGACCTGGTTTACCTTCCCTGTGTCTGCCCCAAGGAGGAGACCTTGGTGCGTCCTTGACTGAGCAATGCCTGGCCCTGCACTTGGGCCCCCTTACCTGCATCCCACTCCAGCAGGCTGGGGTCCTCCCAGCTGCTCCCAGCTGCTGTGCGAATGCACCGTTTCAATTTCTCTGGCTTTCCTTTCTTTTTGTCCTCACCCAAGGGCTCTGGGACCTGTAGAGGAAGGGGGATGGGGGGCAAAGGTCTTGGACCCATGTGTCCCTTTCAGGCTCCCCCACCTGCCTATGCCCCTCACTCTCCTGCTTCCATAATTAAAGAACTGGATGTACTTCTGAATGTGAGGTATCTGTGTCTGCCTCCTTCTCTCCCATGTCCTCCCAGCCCCTCCAATTTCCTGGGTCCCTCCTCCCTCCATCAGTAGAGGGCTACATGTGTTTCTGGATGTGGAAGGCCATGCGTTCTTGTCTGCCCTCCCCGCCCTTTCTACCTGCCTTCCCCCCGACTGCTATGCTCCCTGCTTACCTCAAGAGCCATGAGGCCAGGGGGTGGCTCAGGCCGTGGGGGCCGGGGTCGTGGACGCAGGGACAGGAGCTCAGGAATGCGCAGTGGGGGCAGTAGGCCTCGTACAACTTCCAGTGGGAGGGGCAGGGGTTCAGGCTCAGGCAAAGGCATGGCCAGGGCCAATGGCAGGCTGGGCCCAATGACCGCAGGGCCAGTGGGGGCACCTCCTGCCCCAACAGCCACCGCTGCGCTAGCCTCCTCCAGCCCGGCTGCTGCCGCCACCACTGCCTCTTCCTTCTCTTTCAGGCCCAACCCCAGGCCCAGCCCCAGCTCTCGAGGTGTTGCTGGCTCCTCCTGTGGGCAAGGGGAGACAAAGAAGAGCGCCCTTTCAGAGGCTCAGACCTTACTCTCATCCTGTACAACAAAGCAAGGGCCTGAGGCCAGAGAACAGACGAGACACCTAGACAGAGAAAGGAGTCTCTAGTCAGAAACAGACACAGGGACGAAGATACCAGGACAGAAAAATAGAGAGGGACAATCAAAAGAAAAATAGAAATATAGGGACAGAAACAACCCACGGCCTGTGTTTCTCTCTCTACTTTCCTCACAAAAAGAAACAAAAACAGATTAGGCACAAAAAGAAATAGAGGCTGAGACAGAGTCCGAGAGTGAGAAGGCAGACTTAGACATGGCCCATCAAGCCAGGATTGAGCATCTCCCCACCCTTCACACCTCTGTCCATGAGCTCCCTGTCCACACTTACCAGGGGAGGTCTCAGGGCAGCCATGGAGCCCAGGGGGGGCCCTGGGGCCCGAGCCATCGGTGGCAGCATCATAGGTGGTCCGGGGGGGCCAGGCAGAGGGGGGCCCACAAGGGCCTGGTGAGGGGGCCGCAGGGCCATAGGGCGGGGACCACCTGCTGCAGAAGAAAGAGCAGAATCTGTCAGGGTGTTAGTGGGGGAGTTGGAGGGCTTAGGGGGGAAGTTATGTGGCAGAGATGATGACCCTGGCCCCCTCACCTGCTCTCTGTAGCACGTGGGGGACGAAGGCCGGACGCAGGATAGGGGCCCTCTGGGGGGCCACAGCTGTGGGAGAGAGAGATGGGGGTGTGTGTCATGGGGGACCGGGGCACTTGAGGTGAGGTGTGTGTGTGTGGGTACTCTCAGCATCCAAGAGATCCTGGAGAAGAGTCTGGGGAACCTTCTGGGAGATAGAGATACAGGAGTCTTTACATTTGTTCATTCAGCAAAAATTTACCACTGAGCATCTCCTCTGGGTCTGTCCCTTTCCTGGACAATACTAGGGACACACTGAAAGACCCAAGGCTCTCAGGGAGCTCCTGGTCCCGGACAGGAGGGAACAGACCCATCATCAGAGAGTGACAGCCCAGAGTGATCAGGGCCAGGATGGGGTAAAGCCCAGGCAGGGTGATTGGAACTAGGAGGGGGAAGCCTGGGGAGTTGGGGGAGCCCAAAGGAGCCCTCTGACCTAGCCAGGGTGGCTAGAGGCTTCCTGGAGAAACAGACCTGTGAGCTGAAACCTAAAGGATAATAAAGACCCAACTGCCTTTGGTCAGGCAAAGGGTGACTAGAAAGACAACTGGCAAGGGGCACATTT